GAAATTATCTAAATGTTTGTTCACACAGTAAGACCAAAGGTGATCACAGACAGGAGAAAAAAATAAAAAGTTGAAAAGATGTACCTTGCCAATCACTTTTAATGAAGCATGTATCAAAAAGAAATTGCTACCCAAATATACAGACATACACACACTATATATATATATAAATATTTATTCAAAAAATTATAACATATGCCTGTTATAATGTCACTAGAAAAATACATTTTTCTTTCAACATTTCTGGTGTCTTATCAAGTGATGGTGTTGATTGTGAAATAAAATTTTTTTTCCAGAGTTGAAAAAAGATCTTTATTTCACAATCAACACCATCACTTGATAAGACACCAGAAGTGTTGAAAGAAAAATGGGTATTTTTCTAGTGACATTATAACAGGCATATGTTATAATTTTTTTTTAATAAATATTATTTGCTATACTCTGTATTGAGAATTATTTAAAAAAATAGTGTTTTTTTTGGTTATCGGAATTTTATTTCATCTATACCAACCCTGTACTCGGATATATATATATATATATATATATATATATATATAATTATTTATTTAAAAATTATAACTTAAATATGTTATAAAATCACTACAGAAAAATACCCATTAACCACCCCTCGCAAGGGGAAACGCTGTTACATAAGCTGGAATGATTATTGGTCATTCCAGCTTATGTGACAATCCTATACTTATATTATATATACATACACACACACATATATATATATATATATATATATATATATATATATATACACACACACTATAAAAATAATCCAAAAAGCATACAGATATTTACAATGGTAAAAGATCAGGTGCTCAATGCAAAAACATATAATTTAAATATACAAGCAAATAATTAAATACCAACTGTCTTTCACAACTCTGAATTTCATGTGGCTAACAATTGTCACGTGGAAAGAGATTTCTACCTGTCGATTGTTAGCTGCATTCATCTCAAGAGTTGTCGAAGTGGAATGTAGAAATGCTAGCTATTTCATTATTTGCTTGTGTATATAAAATTTGGCAATTATGACCGATCTTTTATGATTCATCTCTCTACAGACGCTTTGCTTGGCTGATGACCAATATATTTGACTATAAGCCCATGCCAAATAGTCAATACTAATTACTTTACCTTTGATTTTTCATGCATACTCGGTCACAGGATTTATTATATAAAAAAAACAAAAAATAATCACTTCAAGCACAACTGTTTCTAAATATTTTTATTTGAAAATGTCGCACATCCAGTCATTAATACGCCAATGAAAATTGAATACAAACACATAAAAGTTGTTAGCAAAATTTACTAAAGAGATCAAAATTCTGATCTTTGACTACTCTACTATAGTTGAGTACTTAAGAAATGTTTGGTGTGACTAAATAAAAGTACTTTGTGAATAACAGATACTGTTCACTGATATGATACTATGTATCTGGTATTTTAAAAGCATACAGACTATTTCATTAAAGAAAAGAGTTTACAAGTTTCCTGACTGATATTTTCATGTGTATAAGAAAAGTTTACAAAATACCTATACTAATAAAATGTATATATTTTTTTACAATATATACAAATAAATATAGCATTTATAATAAAAAAAGGTTTCATCAAAATTGTTGGGTTAAGTCCCTTGCAAATGTTTTACAAGTAAGAGAGTTTCTTATTTCTCTAAATATTATTTTTGTGGAAACACATATTTAAGTAAACATCCTGTTTCTTATGTTTACTTGAAACAGTATAAATTAAATCTCCTGGCTTGCATGCTCAAGAGACTTATGTGCTCTCCAAGTAGCCTAAAATACAGCAGATCAAACTTGTTTCGCCTACAAAGGGGATGTGGTACTGGTTTGAACCCTACCAGAGAGCACATTTTCTTTAAGTTTCTTGAATGTGCAGAGTGGTAGAAGTAATTCACACTGTTTAAAGTAACTAAATAAAAACAGGGTGTCTATTCAAACATGTGTATCCATAAAATAATGTTTAGAGAAATAAGAAATAATAAAATCCATCAATTCCTTAGAAAGTAAGAGAGTAATAGGGAACCTTTCATTCAACAGAAGTCATATGTTTTCTACTAAATAATGTTTAAGTGATTCATGCTTTTGATTCAGTTTATGTATCTCAATCTCATACCTTTTGTGGCCTACATTTAAACTTAATTGCATTGACAGGCACATAATATATGTATCACTTACTCAACTAGTGTCCAAATGGCTGGGTGACTGATACCTACCCAGCTAGAATATTTTAGCATCATTTTCGTGCTAAAAGTTTGCTACTATATTTGTATGTTCTTTCACTTTAAATGGCCAACAAAATCAAAAGACAAAATAATGGATTGATGCATTAATAGACCGAGTTAATCTCAGGATCCTTATCACTGAATGAGTTGTACCCTTGTTCTAATTTAACATAATTTTAGCAATGTTTGAAATTCAACATTAATTCATATTCAAATGAATTGTAACATTAGTCAGTGATTTAATAATTTTTCATTTATTTTATTAATATTGTAATCTCTATCTATAAAAGGCAGGGTGTGTGTGTGTGTGTGTGTGTGTGTGTGTGTAACGAATGCACGGTCGCAATTTTTGACAGATTTGCACCAGAATTTACATGCACATGCTCCAAGTTAGCGGGAAGGCCAAGACTGACTTTGCATTTCCCAACTCCCATCGATAGTGGAAATAATTGATTTTTCCATGCTTCTACAGCAGTTTTCATGTAGTTTGCGGACATTTTCTACTGGCCAGAGTGAGAGCCTATAGCTGGCTGCCACGAATAGGCAGGAAGATTCTATTGGTCAGCGTGAGAGCCAACAGCTGACTGACATGAATGTTAACTAGCATGCTAGCATGCAAAAAAAAAATTGATAGCTGCATTAGTTACAAGGGGGAAAAATTTAAATCTACATGGCACTTTACTCCAATTGGCTCATTCGCTTGCTTAAACTCAATGTTGATTCTGATTCCACAGAACTTGGTTGATTATGAAAAAGTATTTGTTGTTAACATTCTTTTTTCATTCGGTTTTTCCAGTTACGAGTCCTTTTTTAAAGCTGATCGTTTTGTGTTCATTTTGTTTAGTTCTTTTTTTTGTAACAGATTTAATGTTTAGTATAGAGCTTAGAAAAAATTTGCAGTGTGAGATAGGCAAGAAGTAAGGCATGTAGCAACATCAGCATGGCAAAGGGCACTCCTTTAAAGGCAAGGAAGGGCAAAAATATTTTAAGTCAAGTGATAGCGATTGCTGTATGAGTCGTACGATTTTTGAATCAAGCACGGGCAATGCTGGGCGATGCTGCTCGTTCTGATTTAATATTGCTATTTCTTAGTAAACTCAAACATAATGAGTATTTAAACATGATATTTATTTGAATTATCATCTTTTAATAATGAACAGGGCAAAGCTGGAAAACTGAAAATTGTGATTCTACTAAAGTGTGTACTACAAAATATCCAAGAGCTAAAAAAGTATTTTTGTTTCTTCCTAAAGTATCTGATACCAAAATGTCTGATTCTCTGTACTGACAATACTCTGGAAAACCTGTTATATAATCTAATGTCAAAGACAATAAAGTTAATTAAGTCTAATGACCTACAAGGTTCTCAAAAGTGTTCAGCTTGATCCATTTCCTGAAATCATATGAATAAGACAAACATTCTTCTTTGAACCAAGAACTTTTTAGCACACTTCATATTTCTTTACATTCTTTCTGCCTATATTTTCTTCTATCCAGGGATCTAGATAATTAGATTCTATTTGATTTGTTTGTTTAATGGAATATCAATATATAATGTAGAAATTTAATTTTCTTGGGAGCTTTGAAGTAAAAAAAAATTGATACATATTATTCTACTTTCACAATTGAAAACATGGTAGATGATACTCAGCTTTTACGCATATACATATTTGTGTGGACTTAATTACTAGAGGCAGTGATATGTGTTTTTTTGTTTTGTTGAAGTTATATTTTGGAGTACAGTTTGATTTCTTCAAGAACTTGTTGGATATTATATGGATTAATGTCATTAAATAGTTATTTCATGTTGGTTGGTTGACTGATTGATTTCATTTCACAGCATATCAACTCCTATGGTTTATTTAATGCCAAAATCTAAATATTTTGCATGCAATTCTATGCCTTCAAATACAGATTGTTATTTATTTTGTTTTAGTGCATATCAACCCATTCGATCATTTAATGCCAAAATTTAATGTTTTTCCTAAACAAAGCTTTGTATTTAAACAGTCAGAATATTTTTTATTCTAAACAGTAAGACTGTTGTTAGTTATGGTTCTATATTCTTTTTATTATATTTTTGAAATCAGCTTAATTTCTCTTAGAAACTGGAATAACAAACTATAGATAAAATGTATTGTTGGTCATTTTGCTATAAAATGTATTGTTGGTAATTCTACTATAAATATGTATTGTTGGTCATTTTACTATAAAATGTATTGTTGGTAATTCTACTATAAATATGTATTGTTGGTCATTTTGCTATAAAATGTATTGTTGGTAATTCTACTATAAATATGTATTGTTGGTCATTTTGCTATAAAATGTATTGTTGGTAATTCTACTATAAATATGTATTGTTGGTCATTTCTATAAAATGTATTTTTAATTCTATATAAAATGTATTGTCATTTGCTATAAAAATTGGTAATTCTACTATAAATATGTATTGTTGGTCATTTTGCTATAAAATGTATTGTTGGTAATTCTACTATAAATATGTATTGTTGGTCATTTTGCTATAAAATGTATTGTTGGTAATTCATAATTTGCCCATACCTGGGACCTTAACAGGTGCTACCACCCTTAGAAAATTATAGATTTTTCTTAAGCCTTAACATATACCCCTATTGTTTGGCCAATGTATCTTGCAACTGGTTTTAGATAGAAAATAAGGTACAAATACAAAAATAATCTATGAAACTTTCAGCACTTTGAGAAACAAAAAAAGGGAACTTACTGCATCTTTTGAAGCTTTGAATTCCAAATATTTAAGCCCCTTGATTATGAGGTCCATGAATAAAATTCGACCATCCTAGTAAAGAAATGAAGAAAAAAAAAAAAATATGGTGGCTGGTGTGTGAGGTTACCCAATGATAAAATCATAATCTGACATACATCAACAGAGAATGATATAAGCAATATAAATTTTTATATACAGAACACAGAGGGATAGAATGATAAAGTAAAAGTTTCAAGAGTTTAAAGATATATGCCTTTGCGCATACAAAGAATGTCCTGTAGTGTTTCATTAAATAATATAGACAAGTGTTGTCTATTTATTTTATGTAAACTCTTTTTATAACGTCTGATAAGCTTAATAACATTAATACATATGTTATTCAATTTATTTCTTCATTGAAATTACGTTAGAATAGACGCTAATATGTCATCTGGTCCTCTGACAATATGGATACATTTTAATCCCAAGTGTGTGAATGGGGTCCTAACCTCACGTGTAAAACAACCCAAACACACTCAAATTATAATACATATGCACCCAGACATACTTAGATATATATACACACAAAAAGTGACGAGACAGGGCCACGGCCTTTATAAAAAAAATAATATAAAATAAAAAAAAACTTGGGATTAAAATGTATACATATTGTCAGAGGACCGGATGACATATTAGGGTCTATTCTAACGTAATTTCAATGAAGAAATAAATTGAATAACATATGTATTTATTCTTTTCTCCTCAGTAATTTTATAATTTTAAACTTAATAGTGATTAAATTTGGATTTTAAAATTGGTAATTTTTACTTTTAAAATCAAATTTTATCATATAATTTACTAATTATTGGTTGGAATAAATTATTTTTTAATATTACCCCTATTTTAAAGATCTGAATAGCTATTATAACATGACTTCATTATGAAGCTTTTTGAATTTTCCTACACTTGTATTTTGATTGGTCTTTCTAGCTTTTGTAACAACGTTTTCCCCTTGTGAAGGATTGTTAATTAATTTGAAACTTTTAAAACCATTTATTTTATCTTCAACATCATCACTTGATAAGACACCAGAGGTGTTGAAATGGCTATTTTTGTAGTGATTTTATAACATATTTATGTTATAATTTTTTTAATAAATAATTATATATATATATATATATATATATATATATATATAGCATAATGAGAAGCCACGTATACTTTCTTAATATGTATATATAGAAAAAGTTTCAAATTGAAAATTATAATGTTTTATTTTATGAAAGTATTTATTTATTTATATATATATTTGATATTTCAAATTGTCCTCAATTTTTCATCAGAAATAACTGTTTGTTACAAATAAATTAAAATTACTGTTATATATATATATATATGTATGTATGTATGTATGTATGTATAGTAATATATATTATATATATAAGCCAGCTTCAGTAAAAAGAACTGACAAGGTCTGTCTGTTTAACTTTTTACTTTCTTTTTCCAATTTTAATTAAGAGGTTCAGTATTGTACTTAAAATTGTGGATAAACTCAGATTACGTCAGGCTCTTATGGATCAGGTCATCCCATTAGTTCTGTCCGAATTTTGAATAAAGAAAACAAGTGACCAAATGTTACATTTAATTACAGATTCAATCAACAATGTATTTTCCCTGATTATCTATGACTTCCTTCCATCTATTAACAAGCTTACTAATTCCATTACTGTAAAATTCTTTTGGCTTTGATTCGAAGAACTCACAAATGTCAGTTTTAACCTCTTCCTGTGTTACAAAAGCTGTTTCTTCCAAATGATTCTGTAAGCTAGGAAACAAATGGTAGTCTGAAGGAGCAAGATCAGGAGAATAAGGTGGATGAAGAATTTTCTTCCAACAAAGTTCTTCAATCTTTTGTGACGTGATTCTTGCTGTGTGGTCGCGCATTGTCCTGATGAAACATCACCTCTTTTTGATTCACTAGAGCAGGTCTTTTTTTCCTCAAAGCTTGGTTCAAACACTCTAATTGCTGACAGTATATTTGAGCATTAATTGTTGCATTAAGTGGTAAGAATTCAAAGTGGATTATTCCTTGGCGATCCCACCAGATTGAAAGAAGAACCTTTTGCTCATGAAGTTCCCTTCTTGGCTGTGGCTGGGGTCCTTCCCCTTTACCAAGCCACTGTCTACGACACTTAACATTTTGATAAAAGATCCATTTTTCATTGCCAGTCACAAGTCTATCCAAAAAAGGTGAAACAAGTTGGCGAGAATGGAGAGAAGAGCAGATGTCAACTTGAGATTTGGGGTTGTTTTCAGACAATTCATGAGGAACCCATTTTCCAAGTTTAGGAACTTTTCCAAATTGTTGAAGATGATGATGAACAGTTGTTTGGTTTGAACTGAGAACCACTGCCAATTCCTCAACTGATAAAGCAGGATTTTCTTCAAGGACTGCTTCAAGAAGCTTTTCATCAAACTCAACTTGACGTTCGGTTCGATCTTCATCTTTAAGGGTGAAATCTCCACCTCTGAATTTTGCAAACCATCTTCCGCAAGTTCTTTCATTCACACATTCCTCTCCATAAACTGAGCGAATGTTTCTAGCTGCTGAGTTTCCTTTCTTGAACTCATAAAGCATTATGTGCCTCAAATGATTCTTGAGTACTTCCATGTTAGCAGGGTTTTAATCAAACAAAATTTAATTTGTTCTCTGAAATAAAATTTGATCAGTTTAAATGCATCTAAACATAAAAATAATGTTCAGCTCCATTAGACATTATAAAATACTCTTCAAATTTTGTTCATTTTAACAAAAAGTTAAAATTTGGACAGAACTTATGGGATAACCTGATACCACACTTTCTCATAGAGTGACCGCTCACCTGTCAAAACTCAGTGCAATCCATGCACATACTGACCAGCACATCATGAATGACCAAAATACAACTATCAACAAGAGAAATATTAGTGGAGAATACCAAAAACTACACTACACCACCTAATGCAAGGAAATACTCAAAATGCTAGAAGCTATTATTATACAAAATAAACAACCCATATTAAATAAAATATCTTTCACCTCAGGAAATGCTATCTTGAAGTGCATATGATTTATTTAATGTGCATATATATATATATATATATATATATATATAAATAAATATAAAAATAAATAAAAAACATTGCATTCTTTTTAGTTCAGCCACATTCTCAATAACTATATCACATGACATCACTGTAGACTATTTCTAAATTCCAGCTTTCAAAATGCTAGAATGTAGATTAAGAAATTCTAACTACCACACAGGTGCCACATTGGTTCTCAAAAATGAGTGAGATAGGCAAAAGTACTTTAAATAAAAAAAACAATAACACAAGACAGTTTATCCACAATTTTGAGCACAATATTCAACACTGAAAATTGAAAAAATACAATAAAAAGATTAAATAGAGACTTTGTCAGATAAAAAAATACTTCTGTTTCCTTGGTTTCCTGATGACTACCATCTAAAATTTAAATGCAACGTCAATCACCATCTTCCATCTTAAAACCTGTTCAGCTTTTATCCTTTCTTCAGTTACCCTTTTTTCCCACCTTCACTTTCTGTAACGCCCTGCATACCAAATGGCTGTGTAGCTTTTATTAGGGTTCCCAGTTTGGATTTGTAGAACATTGGTTTTATTTGAGTGCAAATCTGACAAGTGTTTGTTATTCATTTTATGTCTTCAACTGAAAAAGTCAAATTCTGGCTTCGAACCACATGCATCATCCTCATGATACCTGGATGACAGAGATTGTTATGAAATTTTTATAGATGATATTTGGTGCTGTTTATTGATCTACACACTCTTGACAGCATGTCCCCCATTGACCTTTCCTTTCCCGACCAATAGAAAACGTCAAATGAAAAACAGGAAAGCTCTACCCTCCATCTTGCTATCTTTTTATTTTGCTTGACATCTTGGGAATAAACATAAAAGAGACTGACTTTTTATCAGTGATTTATTTAAGCAGTGAACAATTAAGAAATGTTGCCATTTTTTTAGCACCTTGACTATGGCATAAGCCTCTTTTTCAACAGCCGAATGTCTGCACTCAGATTTTGACAATGTTCTGGAGAAGAACACTTCAGGGTACCCAGATTGCCTTAACATGGCAGCTATGGTGTGGTTGGTGTAGGGGAATGTCAGGATCAATGAAATGATGGCTGAGTTGGCAATATCTCTTTTTAAACCCACAAAGGCTTTAACAACAGAAGAAGGTAAAGGAAATTTAAAAATTTTTGTAAATGGGTGTATTTTTTCAAAAAAAGGACAGTATCCATTGAGAATAACGAGCAAATATACTCATGGTTCATTGCAAGGTGGCTATGGTGTTGGGAATCGGTAGTTTCAGTAGTGGTTTTAGCTATTCAGGGTCTGACTTCATGGTTCCTTTACCCACAATATATCCAAGTAGTCTGATGATTATCAACCCATAAGAATTATTGTCATGGTTGAGTGTAAGATTAATTTTCTTGACAGCCACCAAAAACCATTATAGGTTGCGATTGTGGTTGGCCCAGTCATGGCTGCACACTGTCACATTATCTATGTAGGTAAGTGTACCTTATAGTTTTCTTCAAGAATTATTTTATTGAGGACCCTCTGAAAACTGGAAACCTGGAATGACCCCAAATGGAATCCATCAGAACTGATAAAGTCACCCACAGGGTTCAAAAGTCATATAGGGTCTATAGCTACTTGGTGGTAAGAACTCCTTACTTTTAACATGCTAAATATCCTGTATTTGGTGATCTCATTTCTCATCTCATCACGGGGCATAGGGTATACATCTAGAAGGGTGTACATATTTATAGTTTGGGAGTAATCTATGACCATCCTTTTTTATTATTATTATTATCAGAAGGCGTTATTAATACTTGTGCTCTCCATGGTGATCTATTTTCTTCAATTATTCCTTCTCTTTAACATTTTTGTTATTTCTGCTTGAATAAACATTTGGTCTTCAAGAGAATATTTTCAAGATGTGGCCACTGATTTAGAGTTTTTGGTTCAGTTTTCAAAAAGTGAAGGTTATTGTATATTTATAGTGGCCAAGCCAAAGATGTTGAACATCAATTTGGATCCCCCAAAAAGGAAATTAATGCTAGAATGCTGTTTGAGGAAATCATGGCCCAGTATGACATTGCAGCACAGTATTTCATCATGAAAAATTTGGTGTTAGTGTAGTTTGATTCAACACTAGGCTGTCCAAAATATATCCTCTAACCTGTGAAGATAGTGAAGCATTTGCTATAGTCACCTATTACAGTGTACGATTTTAAATCTTTTCAATATCAGTGCTAATAAAACTCTGAGATTCCTGTGTAGACTAGAGCATTCATTTCTACCCAATTTATTTTCACTGTTAATATAGACTTTGAAAGACATTTAGGGTTTGCAGTTGATATGATACTAGTCTCAATTCAAACCAGGCAAAAAAAAGCTTGGTTGACAAACCTTAGAGAAATGTCCCTTCTTCCAGCATTTGTGGCATTTAGTTTCCCTGGCTGGGCAACACAATCTGGGGTGTAGTTTGAGACCACAAAAATAACATTTTCATTTAGCTGCAGAGAGAGAAGATTTTGAACTGGGGGAGGTGGGGTAGAAATCAAGAAGTCTGCCATAGAGGATAGTCTTTTTTTCCCTGTTTGGGTCGTTTGAACTGGTGGACTAGTAGGAGTGTGAGTACTTAGTGTAGCCTCTGCAACACTTGTTTGTAGGTATGAACAACATAGCTTTTCTGCCATCTCCAAGGTAAGTGCCTATTCACAAGCAGTAGCTAAATCTAGTTGTTTATTTTCCAGCAATCTTTGATTGGTATAGTTTGATTCTAATCGATTTATAAAGGAGTCTGTGATAAAGTTGTCATTTGATCAGCTATTGTCACTTGAAAGTCAGTCTTGACTGAAGATTTTTAAGCACTGAAGATACTGTTCTAACCCCTCTTCAGGGGATTGGCAGGTAGTTGCTAATACATGCTGGGCAAAGATTATGTTCCGTCTCTTCACAAAAATTCCACCCAAAATGTCCATGGTACATTTTGCAGTGAGAAATATTTGTATATATGGATATGGAAACATGGTGCATTAGCAGGTTAAGTCTCTCTGTATCAGTAATAGGAGTGGGGGAAATGTTTTCCAGTGCAAGCAAGAATCCTTTGAATAATTGTTTCCTATATTTCTAGGCATCAGTAGAAGACAGGTCCAAAGTGAGACATTCTGGTTTAAGGTATTTGTCCATAATTATGTTCAATAAATTGTAATGAAAACTTGGAGTCTAGTTTGGCTTAATGTGCCTTTATTGAACATAACTGAAGAGTCTTGCCATTTTGACTAAGACGGTGTGACTTATTTATAGAAATCATAAAACAGGGGAGGTAATCAGGCTGTCTTACCACATTAACAAAAGTAGAAAAAAATATGCAGACATCAATGATGTAAGCACATTTTCAAAGCATAACATTTGTAAATAAACATCTAAGTGCAGATAACTCTGTATCAATATTATGAACAGGACAATATTTTTTTATTCTGACAAATGTGGCTTGAAGAAGAAGGTTTAAAGAATGCTAATTTAAAAAAAATCATTCCTTGGAAAATCTTTCCCTCTTTTAAAAAAACAGAACAGTCTGTTTAAGTAGTACCTATGAAAGTATCTTTAGCATGTGAAGATAGGGTTACTTTGTACCTGAAGTCCAAGGAGGAGGAACCCTTGACAATCTGGACAGGACTGATCAGCATCTATTGCCATGACAACTGAGGAAGTTAAGATGCAAATTGCTGTACACTGGTAAGAGTCACCTGCCCAATTTTCAACAGTAAAGTCAGAAGGTGCATGGCTTCTGTAGCTATAACAAAATAGAAAACAAATTGTGTAAGCGTATGCATTATTATTCTAGTAGAAATTATATAGTTCATTAGTTTTCTGACAACTTACAAAATAATATAAAATCTAATATAAATTTATATATTCATAAAATAAATTATATAGGTCAACAGTCTTATGACAACTTACAAAATAATATAAAATCTATTATACATTTATATATTCATGAAATAAATAAATTATATAGGTCAACAGTCTTATGACAACTTACAAAATAATATAAAATCTATTATACATTTATATATTCATGAAATAAATAAATTATATAGGTCAATAGTTGTTGAGATGTTGAGTGTTTCCCCGTGCATGTATTGAAATAAGGACAAACACATACGTAGGGAAAAATACTGGTATATCTGAAGAGGTATTTACAACAGAGAGGTTAGTAGTCAAATGAACGCAGGTTAATCAGTAACAATCAGAAAGAGTATAAAGTCCAACTGTATCTTCCGGTAGAGAGACGGAAGTGTGATGGTCACCTGATCTCCCAGAACTTTATAGAACTGTCCTATTAGTAGTAGAGTGATCAGTCCATTCTGATGAGAAGGAGGGTGCGCCCCAACAATAGTATTATGACAACTTACAATATAAAATCTATTATAAATTTATATATTCATAAAATAAATTATATAAGTCAATAGTATTATGACAACTTACAAAATAATATAAAATCTATTATAAATTTATATATTCATAAAATAAATAAATTATATAGGTTAATAGTATTATAACTATAATGTGACTAATGCATTAAATTTTAACTACTGACAACCCTTTTTATTTTCAGTGCATTTCTATAGTAAAATTATTATTTGTAAAGCTTTGCTATAGTAAATTCATTTTTAATACATTTACATTATACAGATAATAACTCAATTCTCTCAGTAACATTTTCTTTAATTCTTGATCCCAAAACATTTTTTCTCATTTTCAGTGCATATCCATAGTAAAAGTATTAGTAATGTATTTAAATCATTGCCCATGTCTATTTTGTAAAATTTATATTAATTTCTGACCAGTGACAATTACTTTTTTCCTAATTTTGCATACATTTCTGCTAGAATGTCATCAGCAATGTATTTATTGAGTTGGCCAAAAAGTTGGTTTTTAAGCAAAAATAAGACAAGTTTTAAACACAATGCCAATTATTCAATCAATGATATAATTAACATATCATTCCAGTATCTTTCATTATTCCCTGTTCAAAATAATCTGTCATTACTGGTGAAAAACAATTCAATGTAAATTTTTACATCCTCTTCAGAGGTTGAAGGTCTGTCCATTCAATGAATTTTGAAGAGACCAAAACAGGTGGAAATCTGAGGTCAGGTGAATATGGAGAGCGCAGAAGTCCAAAGTCTGGCAATGTCCTTATGATTAGCAAGTGCTGGATGCTTCTGGTGGATGATTGCATTTAATTTGTCCAGCTAATCACAGTACACATCTGAATTGATGGTTCTATTAGTGGGAAAAAAAAAGCTCTTAAAAGACAACACTCTTCCAATTTCACCAAATTGAAAGTATAACCTTTCTCTGGTGAAGTCCTGCTTTAGAGTTGTTTTTGCTGGTTCACTGCACTTCCCCATGATTAGTTTGCACTTCACATTGTTATAGACTATCGATTTTTCATCCCATCAACATTCTCTTCAAATAAAGGATACTTTTCTTCATGTTTCTGCAGCAAATCACAGATAGAAATCTGTTGCACAAGCTTAGCTTCATTCTATTGAAGTAGGATTATGGTGTACACCATGAGTGGGACCCAAACATCACACCTGATGATGTAACTAAGTTGATGCAGATGGTTTTCAACATTTGATTTGGATGTTTGGAGAATATCTACAATTGTCCTGGTTATATAATAGAGGTAGGCATTGACTAACTCCTTCATTATGTTACTGTTAATCTCAGTTGACCAGACAGAGGAAGGTGCATCTTGAACTGAAAGATTTCTTAACCCAAATCTTGAAAACCATTTGTTACAGACATTCCATAGAAGCATCTGCTTCTGGAGGTTTCTGCTGCTTTCTTTCCTTTTTTTAAAATGAAAAAACATAAAGTGCTGATAATGTTCATTTTGGTCTTCATTTTGAGGGTTGATCCCAAGCATGCAAAATACACCCTGTCTTGTCACAACTTAATGTTAAATTATGTTGACATGTCAAGTATCTAACTAGTGTGCATGCACAAGGTACAGACTGAAGTTAGCTACTTAGAGTGTTTGAAGTTTAGGGTCAAACAAAAAAACAAATGGAGATATATTATATATATAATAGCCATATTCTATCAGTAACACATGATTTAATCCATTAATACACATTGTCACAAAAATGGTGGGTATTAATGGGTTATAGACAGAAACTAATAATACTGGATTTTTATTAACTTATAAATAATACTGCATTTTTTTAAAGAAATTTATTATATTATAAATTTCTTTTTTAATAATTAATATTTGATTTTTATGGTGGGCATTAATGGGTCAATTCCTGACCATTGGCAATCTTTTTTTGACTTTTCAACATAAGATATACAGACTGAGTGCAATAACTAGTGAAAACAAATTTCAGTTAAAAATTGTAAAATTCAGTGCTTAATCATCAATACCTTGTGACGCGCCGTCACCTCCCTCTGTCTGTTTTACAAATACTTTCATGGCAATTGCTCCGAGGAGCTGCATTCGCTGGTTCACAGACTTCATGAGTTCAAGCACCCTACAAGGCTGGCATTCCACTCTCACCCTTTCACTGTCAAAACTCCTAAATGTAGCCATTTCTTCTACTTCAATAGCTTCATGTCTCACACATCTCGCCTGTGGAACTCCCTTCCCTATTCCAGTATCTCTGAGAGCTATAATCTCCAGCTATTCAAATGTAATGTCAATCGACATCTCCAGTTGCCTTGATCTATCCCCTACCCTTCTCCTCATCCTTTCTTCTATCATTCCTTTCTGATCTTGCTCCAAATTTTTCTGTAACCCCTTGCATCCTAGTGGCTTGCTTGGGGTGAAACGCTTAAAAAAAAAAAATAAATAAATAAAAAATATATATATATATATTGCTGCCAGAAATGTTTGTTTTGTTAATGCAAAAAATCACAATGCAACTTTTGACTAGATGGCCCCAACCATACCTGTGTTATAGTTTGGATTTCGCACTTTCCAAATTTCAACTGTTTGAGACACTGAAAGATGGACCATGAGAACAGAATTTTTCTGATAAATACGTCATCATTTCCGCTGTGAAAGTGTCTTACCTCTGCTGTTTAAAATTTACAAGCATTGCATACAGTCTCTTGTTTACTGCTAGCAAAAATACATAGCCAATGGTGATGATGATGTACAAAACAGTGTTTTATAACTAAAAACTTGCTCTAACCAACAGTGTTAATGAGCTCCCTGTATCTATTGTAGTTTTCATGGAAAAAATAGGAGGCATTAATTTCAAGGTTTTAATAAAATTATATTTGGTTAGATTTTGGGAAGTTTCCAGCACTCCTACCTTGTTTGTGTGCATGAGTATATAATAAATGAATGTTCACTTATCTTGTCTCTACTCTGTGTTTCTGGTCAATATGTTTTTTCCAAAATAAAATCTTTGTTACTGTTACAAACAAACAAACACACACAATAGTTAAAAAGCTTTGGGACACCTTTTGGATTTTGAAGAATCATCCAAAAATTGAAGTTTGCATGCCTTTTTCGAAAACTAATCTACTAGATTCTTGTAGTCTAAAGGGAGTTTCTCATATATTTAATATATTTAATCATATATTCAGTAATAATAATAATGGAATTAACCCATAACTGGATAAAGTTTCCTTAAAATTTTAGCTTTTTTGCCTAATCTACCTTGCTGGCTAATGGTATATTTTAGGGCTGTCAGATTTAAAATTTTAGGCAACTCATCGTTAAAAAATTGGATGGCATGCACTAATTGGTTAAATAGTTTCAACATCTGACCTTAGTAGGAATTAAATGAAAGAAGGCATGAAAGTTACGAATTATTAAATCCAAAGAGTGGCTCTAAACTTTTGGCCTATAGTGTGTGTGTGTGTGTGTGTGTGTGTGTATGCATGTGTGTGTGTATGTATATATATATATATGATACATAGAATAGAAATCCAAATTTACCTTATTCAAATAGCTATTTCTGACAGCAAGACTTGTTGGCTTTGTCATCTCAGAAGTCTGAAGAAATATAATTTTATTTCACACTTCAAATGAGGTATATTTGGATTTCTGTTCTGTATAATTTATATGCTCTGTTATAATACATTGAGCTCTTTTTGTGGATCAGTTTTAATATTTTATATTATTAGGATTCACTTGGATTATATACCAGTGGATTATTATATATATATATATATATATATATGCAAATGTAAAAAAACGAAGAGTAAGATTCTAGCGTTCAAAACATTGATTTAAAACAGAGCTCAATACTAAAGTAGAGCTGTAAATATTTATTTATTATGCAGTGTTACATTAGAGCATGCACATACACACTACAAAACTGTACATCTTGTTTCAATGTTAAAAAAAACAAAAACATTAAAAATTTTGGTTTTTTTTTAAATGTTGAAACAAGTTGTACAGTTTTATAGTGGGTATGTGCATGCTCTAATGTAACACTGCATAATAAATATATAGTCAAGAGAAATCAACATTTTTACTTGGTCACATGTTATAACAAAGACCAAATACATTCAGCAGGTTCAGAACATCATCAACTAGGAAACCAGAAATGGCATAATCTCCTCTGACATGTGTAGTGCATAAGCACACCAGATACAAGTCCTATCTGAAGAGGAGAATTCTTTTCATATGTGTTGTGTCATAGGATTTGGTGAAAATAGAATGTTGTAATTTTACTGAGCCATAGTCTTTTGATGTGTACTTGAAATAAAGTTTTGAGTAAATGACTGCAAGAAATAAGAATATATTTGATGCATCCTAATGTTGACTTTAATACATGTGGTGAGTCTTTACATATCAGTGTATATATTGCTTGTGTGTGAGTTTATGCACAGAATTATCATGGCTTATGTATGTGTAGAACTTGAGTCAAATGTGTGTGTGTGTATATATATATATATATATATATTAAATAAAAACAGACTACTTTAAGGTTTCATGTAATAAATTATTATTTTATTACATAGAACCTTAAAGTGGTCTGTTTTTATTTAAAATATTTGCTCTGGATTTACTTTGAGCTCTCTGGATTTTATCTCCCTTGGGTCTACCCATATGGATTACCTAGTTTTCCATAAACTATATATATATATATATATATATATATATATATATATATATATATATATATATAAAACACATATACACATGTATACATAAAGAGTTAATAGATTTATTTTTAATCTGACATTTTTATTACTGAAAGCATTATTAGTAGATAGCTGTGTTTCAAATAGACATCCTGTTTTTTTTGTGTGTGTGTTTTTCTTATAATTTTAAACAGTGCATATTATGGCTACCATGAGTATCCCCTTAAAATAACTTTTGAAAATATTATATATATGATGGTTGCAACTCGATTTCAAACAATGCCACTGCTTGATCCATTCCCAAATATGACTGACCAATGTGGGTGTAGCTTTTTAGTCCTGCTAGTATCTTACATTGTTTTGTGCAGATGTAGCAACATTGAGAGTATTTTACAATAGTTGTTACATAAATGCTGTATAATGTGTAATGAATAACTTCTTTCTCTGTGTGTGACATCTCCCATGATTTTTTATGCTTTAAGACACATACAAACATACATATATATATATATATATATGTGTGTGTGTGTGTGTACATACATACTAATGCAATTATTGTGACAATAACAACATAACTGTGATGTATAAAAAGTGGACTGACATGCTTGAAACCAGCCAAAACCTTCCAAAAAAATTCTGATGTATGGTTAGATTTAGAGAAAATGCTGAAAGTTCTTAATCTGACCCACTTTCCTAAATCTGATCAAATGACAAGCATGAAAATTTATTTTTGAGTTCTGGCTGGGCTGAGACCTTTTCAGCACATTCTCATGTGTATACAATATGTGCATTGTTCACAAATGTAGACAGAAAGTTAATCTTGCAAAACATCCTGTTGTGATTTTTGCAATTATGATATGGCGTGAAAGCAGGCTAATAGTTAAATAGTTATAAAGGAATGCCAAACATTCACAAAAATCAGTTTTTCTATGACCAAACATCAGAATACTGGCTTTTGGAAGTGGTTTGCACTGAGAAGTTTTCAAATCCCACGTGTGCATATAGGTAAATCAATAAAGCTAAAATAGAATTTATTTTGTGCAACAAATATTTTTTTTTTTAGCATTATCTTTTTCTAGGTATTTACTTCAATTTTCTTCCGTTGATCATAAAATGGCTAAGAAATTTATTTGTTTTTTTTTCAGCGTAAACTCCACCATGTGTACATGAAAAATTGTTGTTATACCTTTTGACAGATAAATTACCAGACATGAACAAAGTCAGTCATCACCCTTCAAGATCAAAATTGTTAAAAACAAAATTGCTTACAGAGTATTTGATGTTGAACCTTCATTTTTTTCTAAGTACCTTGTGTCCCATTCGGCCAGTCGACAGGCAGGATCCGTTCTGAATATAAAAATAAACCAAAATAGATAATTATGTAGACAGAGACAATTGATTGTTTTGTGTGTTACTAGGTGTGCATACAGTTATAAATAAAACAAAATCTCCATAATGTGTCTGCATTTTGAAGACAAGCGTCATCATACTTAAAAAAAACAACAAAAAAAAAAACATGTCGATCTCTTTGCAGACAGAGATTATTCAAAAAAAGATCATATAAAAAAGAAAGATTCAGGAAGCTGATTGCTTTCTATATTGATTTTGTGGGCTATATTTTAACACTAAAAAGAGAATTTCTTTTTATAAGACACAGTAGATAAAACTTTTCTTTGTCCTTATGCATATATCAGATCGTAAAAAGTATGTGGTATTGTGATGGATAAAAGGAGAAGGAAGTTTAGGCAGGTTTTAAATGTTGTTTTCCTGGTATAAAAAAAAAGATTGAGTCAAAATTAGGTTGTCACAAAATTAGTGTTTTATGGCTTAAAACTCCTTGTGGATTATTTAAAGCCAAACATATTTTGCATTGTACAAATAATTCTTTTTACTGCAAGTGAATATTGCATTAACAATTAAAAAAAAATTAATAATGATTTTTCCAGATACAACTCCTACAATTTAACCTACAGCTGAGAGGAGTATATGGATTCATACAGTTCCAAATTTACCTATATGCTTAGCAGGCTGAAGCCTAGGGCCCCAAAATCTAAGGGACCTCCAGCCAAGGTGTATAACATTTTTGATACTGTCATAGGCCTTTCTTACACATGTTGTCATAATGCATTGTTGATTTGAAATAACCCTTCAGTAATTTTAAATAGCTGTCATCATCCTTGGCTTTACTCAAACTGTTTAATTTAATGCCCTTCCATTTTCCTCATTTGAACTCAGCCTTTTGACTTCTCATTTCAAACTGTTATCCATTACTCCACTCTAACATCCCAACTAACCCTTAACTTAGTTTGTTAGAATTTGTAGGGTTAAGCTTTATCGCTATTATATGTCTTTCTGTTTAAACTAGTATGCTCATCTTGGTCATTATACTCACATTTTGACCATTTAACCCTCTGACCACCTTCAGGTGTTTGTCATACATGGTAACTTTCTTGGAATTTTTAACTGATTCCTTTATTCAATTCACAAGGGTAGATTGTTCTCTTCTTTCCATGCTTAGAGGATATTTCATATCAGTTAATACTCTCTAGTCTGTCTGCCTTTAAGTCATTTATCCATTTCTTCCACTGATTGAATTCACACCCATGACAACTGCAATACATTTAATCACTGCCTATGTCGATGAAAAAATAACATCCTTTGAAAACACTAGAAGACAAGTAGAAAGACAAAGAGCGACCAAAGAAAAGCCAGATTCCACCATCCCTTGAGCCCTCCTATGCTACCATGCAGTGACTGTGGACATATCTCCAGATCCAACATAGGATTCATTTCACAAAGAAGGAAATGTTGTTTAGCATCTCAATACTCAGCAATGAGTTCCGTCAATGATGATGACAATGCCCACTTCACTGTCATCATTAAGTGTATTTTTGGAGCCTTTTAAATTCAATATCAGATGCTTCAATATTTGGTTATCATGACAGAATCATACTGCTTTATATAATATTATTTGAATTTAGAAATGAGAAACTTATTATATTTTGATTTATTCAAACTACTATCCATATTGATTCCTTTTATAACATCTACATATTTTTGATTTTCTATATGTTGTATCCCTTCAGTATATGGGCAATCATGGCTCTCCACAACTTCCTGTTTTTTGTAGCTCTAAATTTTACCTTTCCACTATATCTCCTAATCCCTGTTTTGCCAACCATTTATACAAACTTGATAGGTATGCTATTCACTGTTTTCTTCTGTCCCACTTGCCTTTTATGTCCTGTAAGTGTCAAATTTTCTAATCCTTCTTTCCTCATTATGTGCCCTAGAATTTCAACTATTTCTTTCTGATGTTAACTGTCTTTTATGCTTCTATTTTCTCTAAAGTCTGTTGTTGCTTAAATGTTCAAGCATGGTATTCTCAGCATTCTTCTATAAAACCAAATTTCTGTTGCTTCAAGTTTCTTCTTCATATGTGAGAAGATTGTTCTTTTGCTACCATATAGGAACACTGATATTACATAACAGTCAAGTATTCATTTTTTGTCTCTTTCCTGTTTCTTAATACTTTGATTAGCTTTTGGAAGGCATCTTTCACTATTCTATTGGCCCTTTTGATTTCAGTTTTGCATTTTCTGTCCCCTGTTTAAACAACTCTGAGATCACCTTGTTTAAAAGTTAATTTGTTAAACCTTTCCTTTATACTTCAGATAAAAGTTTTAAAATAGCTTTTAAAGTTTTGGTTATTTCTAAAAGAAACGAAAATACAACCTTGTTTATCTCTCTATACCATGTCCCTTGAAGATGTGGTCAGTCATGGCAACCTTTGCTCTTTCCAGCAACACATTATCCTTTCTTATCACTGATATATCCCTATGCTATTTATTACTCCATCCATTTGCATAAACTTATCAAATACATTATCCACTACTTTCTTCTGCTTCTCTGATCTTTCTGAGAATGTTCAGTTTACCAAACCTTCCTGCCTTATTATATGTCACTACAGTGTCTCTCTTTGATTGTTAGCAGAAGTTTCTTTGTTATTTCTATTTTTCTTAAAACTTCCTCATGAGTTAAATCCATGATAATCTCAATATTTGTTAGTAAAACCAAATAGTAGAACTTTGTATATACAACATTTTGTTTAACCTTATCCTTCTATTAGAGATATTTAAAAACAAATATCTTCTAAATATCTGGTTATTTTAAAAAAACGTTTCTTTTTGATCACCTTGCATAAAGCCGTCTTGTTTAACATTACTAGTTAATGTTATCTTTATTAGTGGTAAAAAGTACTTTTAAAAGCTTATAAAATCAGTTGAATATCAATATATAATGAATGTAATTCAGAATTTTGTTGATGTTTTGATAGTTAAAAAAATCAAGACGATAACATTCATGAAGTTGTCTGTAAAGTTTTCAAATCAGAAGACAGAATTTGTTTACAAATGTCCTTTGTGACGCACAGTAAGATGCATCAGAAAAGATCTCAGATCAATTTGGCTACTTTTTTAATCATAGAAAAAAATATTTGGCCTGAGTCTAAAGTGAATCATCAAGTCTTTATGTAAACAGAAACATAATTGAACAGTAAGACTGATCAATTCTTCCAAGGTTAGCAATCACAATCTCTGGACAAGAGATCAATGGCAGAGCAAGGGACTACAAGTTGCAAGATGAAAGCTGAGGTTATTGTTATAACTGACTTTGAAATTAGCTTTAATTGACCAAAAAAAGAAGCATTTATATTAGTGATATATATGCTTCTAAAATTTTTTATCAAATCTTTTATTCTTATAAATTCATAATATCAGGATTAAACTAAAATATTTACTTCTATTTTCATTGACTTAATTAATATTCTTGAATATATGTGTCATATCTAGACTCTCATCAGGATGTCATGCATGTAATCCAACTCATTCAAAATTGTCTATCATCTATTTATCTATTATTCTATACAACCATTTCTTCAGATAAATGGCTTCAAATGAATAATTCTTTTAAATCTTAAAGACAACGATCCTTTATCTAGTATTACAAAATCAGAAAGAAAGAGCTTTACTAAATAACAAAAAATAGATCATTTGAAGACTTCCAGCAGCAGCAATAACAAAAATGGATAGAAGAAAAAAAAATAATGATATAATCAAAATGTCAACTTTCCACACTACCAAAAATAAAAAGGTTTGAAAGGAAACTCCTCTCAAAACTAGAAGGAGCTCTAATAGTTAACGGACTTGAGAAATCTAATTTCCAGAAAAAACTATTTAAAAAAAAGATTGTATAAATATCAAATCGTGTTATAACCTGTTTTCTTTTCATTATTTTTTAATATTTTTTTTTAGCATCAGAACAATAATTAAAAATGGCTTCAAATGAATAAATCCTTTAAATTTTGCACTATAAAATCACAAAGAAAGCATTTTACCAAATAATAAAACCCTCATCACTTGAAGGCTAATCCCTGAACTGAAAAATGACATACTATACTTGACTGATTACAGAAGCAATAAAGAGCTGAGGATATGTAACTTGTAAGATTTTACTAACACTGTAAAAGATTCACTGGTAAATTCTACATCATCCTTCTATGTTTTTTTCAATCTTAGCCTGGTCTGTAACAAAGCAACAAAAATAAGGATCACCAGTTGAATTTGAAAACTACAAGAACTATTCTATTACAGGCACCAAATATATATATATATATATATATATATATATATATATATATATATATATATATATATAATATAATGGGTTAAATAAATATTGGAAATATAAAAAACATTTATTATTTCATCAAAGCAACAAAATAAAGGAAGCTATCACTCACATCTTGAAAGGAAGTGAGAGAGAGAGATTACTTACTGAGGAAAGATTATTTACTCATATTTAACATATTACATAACTATAATTATAGTAAAGAGTACATAGTGGATTACTCACCTTGACGTATAAATCCATATTGTATGTGGATTCAAAAGTAAATAAACAAGATTTAATTCTCTGTTGTAGCAGAAATCAAGGAGTTGCTCCAAGGGAGATAAACAAGGTGGAGGCAGCACTGTACATAACTTCTTCCCATTTTTCCTTGAAAAAAGTCTTAAACTAAAAAGGTAAAATAGTAGAAAATAAAAATATAACTGTTTGGCATCATTTGTGCATATATAAGTATAGCTTGGCACTAGTATTCAAGGATACCTGTCTACAAGGGCAGTTAACCAATCCTATTGCAGATGCTTACTCAGGTGCATTTGTGTTTATTCAACACCCACAGAGCCCACCTGTGGATTATACTGCAACTATGCTGAGCAGACCTTAGTTACAGTTTCTAGGAAAGGGTGTTATCTAGCGTGATCAACAATTTTGAACAAGGCCAGTACGCTCAAGCCCTCGGTCATGATGACTTGTGACTTCATGCTAGAACAGCTATCAATGGCCTCCAAAAGTTCCATCTACCCAAATTCACTCACAAGGCTTGTGTCACCCCATGGTATGGCACTTTACAAAAGTGCTGCATGATGTGATCAATCCCTCCAGAACCCTATGAGGAGTTTGATCGGGCTTTTGGATCATATCCATATATATTCTGAAACTACATTACCCAGGCTACTTGGATAAATAGATTTCATTTAGATCAAAGGGGGTTCATAGAGGAAGGAGGGGGGAGTGCAAACCTGTTGCTGAAAATGTTTTTTCCTTTGATTTAAATTGAATTTAAATTTGAACAAGGGAATGACTCCTATCCAAAATATAGAAGCAGAAAGCCAGAAGATGGAGTTCATATCGGCAAAATCATTGAGTAATATTGAAATGCATCATTTTTATCCACAAATTCTTACAAAAAATGTGTGACATACAACAAGGCATGGATAATTCGGTGGATATATATATATATATATATATATATATATATATATATATATATATATATATATATATATATATATATATTATATATAATTATTTTTTAAAAATATGATTCAAAACGCTACAGAAGTCTCATGTTTCAAAACAAGAGCCGAAAACTTCAATATAATTATTTAAATTAAATTGAGTTAAAATAAGCTCTGTTCCATCTTCAAGCAAAATTTTTTTGGAATAACATATATCTGAAATTTCGTGTTTTGATTTCAATTTTTAAAACACGTAAATTTCAGATATAATGATATTCAAAAAATTTCAAAGCTTTATTTTAACTCAATTTAAAAATTATATTGAAGTTTTCAGCTCTTTTTTTGAAACATGAACTTCTTATGTAAAGCGTTTTGGAATCATATTTTTAAATAAATAATTATATTTATATCTACTTTTGTATCGAGGCACTATTTTTAAAAATAATAACTAAAATACTAAGGGACTTTGGATTATTTACCTAACCAGTTCCTTCCTATTTTTCTATATATTTTCATATATATATATATATATATATATATATATATATATAAAGTGGACATTAAAGTTAACACCTGGAGGTGACAGTCTGTTTCATGCTTAAACACAATGGCCTGACAATTGCATTTAAGCATGAAAGAGACTATTGCCTCAGATGTTATTCACTGTCAACTTTTATATTTAGATATGGTCTATCCCTGTTCAAAACATGGAAAAGTCTATGGAATTAAATTCAGAGTGGAGCCCCATAGGTATGACAACACTGAAAGCTCCTGCAACCAAGCTGTCCCCAAATGTAATGCACTGTATTCCCTGTACTGGGCAGTGCACAGCCTCTATATACCATTATCCAGGCCTGCAACCTGGAGAGGTCACTTCAGTTTCACCACTAAAGGACTTAATTTTAACCAAAGAGGGTGTTAGCTTTATCTTGCAAGATAAACAAATGCCTTCTATATATATATATATATACATATATGTCTATGTGTGTTAGAGCTGGTCGCTTTGGCAATTTGTTTTGGTATCAGTTTCCGGTTTTGTTTTCCTTTATACCATAGTTTTTGATTTGGCATTTCAGTTTTTAATTTAGTATTTTTGCTTTCTAACGAAGCCATTCATTTTCTTGTGCAATGATAGCATTTCCAGTCAATATGTAGAACCCAAATTCTACATCATTCCAATACCTTTGGTCATATGAACGAAAAACTTTAAGATTGTGTGACGTGAAGTTTAGTTGCAATTCATTTGATGTCACAATTCTCACTGGTGAGTGTGAATGAGTTTCTGTTTTTATTTGCTTCGGGTGGCTCACAGAGACTTGGCGCGAACTTGGATTTCAGTCATGAGCTGTAAAAATTAGTTCAGCGTGGGTGGATAGTCACGCCTACTTGTATATTTATTAACCAATGAGGGCTTGAGATTTTTTTGAAAGTTTATGAAGTTGAAAGTGTTCTGTGATCCACTTTTTGCACAGATTTGACCAAAGGTATTGGAATAATGTAGAATTTGGGTTCTACAGATATCTGATTTCGTTTGAGATTGATAAATTTGAAACTTAGTTCAATTAAACCCGAAAATTCTCATGTATTTCTGGTCCAATCTTAAAAATATTCATATGGCTGAAAAGAAAATAATATAACCTTTCTAAATATATAATTTGTATCTGCTTTTATTCATTGAATTATTTTTTTTACAGCAAGTTAAAACAGTATTGCTTCGACCATCCGAAAATGCGAAATGATTTTTTTTTAGACTAAATTTTACACGTTACTTTTAAACTTTTTGTTAACTTAATTTTACCACAAAAATTTTTTTTTGAAAACTGAAACAAATAGATGTCAGACATCATGTCGGATTCCCTTTTCTTTCTTCTTCATTTCTTTTGTAAACAAATAGATTTCACATTTATTTCTTAAAACTACTAATCAATTAAATGTTTCTAATATATTTTTGTTCAATCTTTTTCTCTTACAATGGTATAAATGTTGATAAAATTTAATTTTATTAACATCTGAAAATCTTTTTCAATAGTATTTCTTTGGATATTGTTACTCAATAGTGATATAAAAACGAAACCCAAATTGTTTGGTTTTGTAAAAAATTTTGATGCAGTTTCACGGTGTGAAAATGAAACCAAAAAAAGTCAGTTTTTCGGTTAAACCACACATCTCTAGTGTATATATATATATATATATATATATATATAGTTTAAGAAAAAATGGTGCTCAATGTTAAATAACAGAGCTATTTAATGTATACACATATATATATATATATGTGTGTGTGTGTGTGTGTGTGTGTGTGTGTATATACCGCTGATATGCTTACAGCCATAATTGAATATATAAACTAAACTCTTGATAATAATGTTGAAGCTCAAGCTGTGACTCTAGATATCTCAAAGGCATATGACAGGGTTTGGCATGCTGGCCTTCTACATAAGCTTCAAGGATATTGTATTATTACATGACAATTATTTGATTTAATCAAATCATTCCTATGAAACCATGAAATAAAGGTCATCCTGAACGGGTTCTCTTCCAGTTCCTTTCATATGAACATGGGTGTTCCCCAAGGCTCTATCCTGAGTTCTACCCTGTTTCTGATCTTCATCAATGATCTTCCTGTACTGATGTTCTCATTTCTCAGGTATGCATTTATGCAGATGACACTACCTTTTACTCCTGTCTCAATAGTAATTCAAGCATTGCTGACAAAGTTAACCTTGCTGTTGATTTTGAAAAGGACCTCCAATCTGTGGTTGACTGGAGTAGGAAATGACTTGTAAATTTTAATTCCTCCAAAATGAAACTGCTCTCATTTAGCCACTATAGTGAAACCTCCCTGCCTCCTATCAGTAAGGCTGATGCTCAACGTCAACTGTGTCTTCTTGGTCTCACGTTTTCCATTGACTTGAGGTGAAACAACTACATTGAATCAATAGTGTCATCTACTGCAAGGAAAGTTGGTTCTTTGTGTCACACCAGAAGTTTTTTCTCACCCAAGTGCATCCTTCACATCTACAAATCTACCATTTGTCCATGCACTGAATATTATTACCATATATAGACTGGTGTCCATGCTGTTCATCTCAAGGTTCTCAACAAAATCCAAAGAAGAATATGCAATGTAATTGGTCCTGATTTGACAGCTCACCTGCAGTCACTTTCTCACAGATGTGATATGGCTTCCTTCTGTCTTTTCTACAAATATTTTCATGGTAACTACTCTGATGAGCTATTTTCACTGGTGCTCTGACTGCGTGAATTTAAGAGTGCTACTAGGTTGTCATCTTGGTCCCATCCTTTTACTGTCAAAATAGTTAAATGTAACTACCTCTTCTACTCCAACAGCTTCTATCACACTTCTCAACAGTGGAAGTCCATTCCTCTTACTTGCTTCCCTGACAACTATAATCTTCAAAAATTAAAATGTAATGTCAATCAACATCTTCTGAGGCCTTCATCCCCGTAATCTCCCCCATACCCAGTCTTTTCTCTAACTTTCACTGTTTGTAACCCGTTGTTTACTAGTGGCACTCCCACATTGCTTGGGGTGAATGCTTATAATATATATATATATATATATATATATATATATGTGTGTGTGTGTGTGTGTGTCTCTCTCTCTCACTATATCTATATATATATATATATATATATATATATATATAAGTATAATATTTTACATTGCTTCGCAAAAACTTTCATGACTGGTTAATCTCGACATGCCCACATGTTTTTTAATTTTTAAATTAGAGTTTCCCCAGCTCCTTTTTAACTTCCAAATGAGGTAATGATTTGTTTTCTAGTTTTACAAATAAATCATGTTTATCATATATATATAGATATATTTTGTTTGAATAAAAACAAACCACTTTATGGTTCCATGTAATAAGTTATTTCACCACAACCCCTTTAACAGGGCTCTGGATCATCAGACTTTACTTCCAAAGGTTTTTTCAACCATTGGAAGTAAAGTCTGATGATCAGAGCCCTGTTAAAGGGTTATTTAATGAAAAATTTTTATTACATGGAAATATTCTTTTTTATTCAAACATATCAACTCTGAATTTTACATTGAGCTCTCCGGATATCATCCTCCTTGGGTCTACCCATGCAGATTAACTAGTTTTGCATAAACTAAATTTATATATATATATATATATATATATATATATATATATATATATATATATATTATACACTGTTACA